TAGATGAAGTTTTTCAAGCTACCCATATAAGCCATAAGAGAAGTTTTCAAATGATGAAGTCCTTTAGTTTACATAAAGGACTCAAAGCTTTGATTTTTTTTCAATTATGCCCTTGATTGTCTTTTGAATTGTTTCCAACATGTTATTTTTCTCAATTAGCTCCCTTCCTTGAATTAATCTAAACTAGACCATTCTAATTAGTCTTTTTTCTTCTATTTTTTCCTTGATTTGTTTTATCATTTTTTTTTGGTATTTTTGTAATAATAAAAATAAATAAATAAGAGCAAAAATTATGTGCAAACACTACATATAATTAAGTAAGTTTTAGGATCAATTTGTACATATACATTACGGATAATTATGAAAGTCTTAGCATCAATTTGTTCTACTACCACAATCGAGTTACATGAGTTTTCGGTTAAGTCATTACAATTTAAGACAACATCCACATATAATAGGCTGTTAAATACACTTGAAGATCACAATATAACAAAAGTTCAAGTGTGATTCGAATAAGTTCCCTTGCATTCTATTTCACTATTTGATTACACACACAAGTAGCCTAGCTTTAAATAAATAAATAAATAAATAAAGCGAGAATAGTACATTGAGCAATAATATGGGAACAGTTTGCAAGTTTAATAAATTTAAAAAATTTGATAAAGCAACAAATTATACTCAAACTTGTGTATGATTAACTTACTTTTATCAACCACTTCTTTCAGCCATCACTTGTGTTAGAAATTCAAGTCTTCTATGACGAGATAACCCAAAGAATTGTCTTGTAAGTGATGCATTATTAGCCAAAAAGCGATATGCACTTATTTGGAAAATAGATTACAATCCTATCGTTTTAAGCTCAATGAATATCTCATCCTTATGAAAAAAAAATTTGACGTCCCTCTCTAAAATGGTCAATGACCTTTGTGCAATGAAGTTCCCTTCTTCCAGTATTTCATTGACCACTTTCTAAAATTTACAATGACTTCTCTACAATTGCATTTCGTTCCTTCATTACTTCGGAGACTTCTTTCATTCCTAAACGCACCATTTCATATTAACTCGAATTACTTCCACCATATGAGATTTATGTTTAGTTACTCTAGATGAGTTTGTTTCTTCGAAATTGGGTGAAGCTACATACTCATGAGTACGAAGCTAACATTTGCATTATAGCTTAGCACTTGATTCCCCCAATTTGTTTCACTATATGATGTTACATTATTGTCCTCATTGAGATCAAATTGGCTAAACGAACCTTTCCTTTCCCACATCATCACCCTCTCTCAGCACTTGCAGAACCCTCTCCAATAGCTCTATCTTGAACATATATCTTATACAATTTATCACGAGTTGTTGATTGGATGATGCATCCACTTTCGTGTTTCCGGTTTTACCTACACATTAAAAGTACTTTATCATATACTTTGAAAGTAATTTATTCATAAAATTTATATATGATAGTCACCCGAATTGGCTCCCCCAAACTTCGATACTTGCTTCAAAATTCTTTGTCTCGGGATTCCGACCAAATCCACTTGCACCATAAAATAAGTCTTCCGCCTCACTAAAAGTTGTCTTTAATGTCTTTTGTCTATTCTTAATATGATTCTTTTGGATGTGATTCTCAAATTTAGCCCTTAGAACTCGTAACATTTTATCTAAGGTCTGTTGTTGTCCATATTCTTAATATGATTCTTTTGGATGTGATTCTTAAATTTAGCCCTTAGAACTCGCAACATGTTATCTAAGGTCGTTGTTATCCAATGTCTCTCTAGTCGATTACCTTTGATTTTCTCTTCAAGCATGCAATCAATTAATACATTATCCATTTTAGTGTTCCAAAAGATATTGCTTTTGGTAGAACCATTGTCCTGTGAACCTACGCATCTTCTATACTATAAAGAATCCATTTTAATTAAACAATTTTGTAATATACTTGGCAACTTAAAAATACGTTAAGAACACAAAACATAGTAATAAATGTTAACATTAAAAGCTTTATTAACTTGAATTAGTGTCATAATTCATACATAGTTGTATAATATACATAGCAAAAATACAACAATACATGTTAAAACTATAAACATTATTAACTTGCATTAAAGTCATAACACATACATATTATTCTAATTCACAACAAAATATATTAATAATAGAAAAAGCAATCAACTAATTGGTTTAGTTGCATTCCATAAATTTTATTCATATGCATTCCACATTTCCATCAATATAGAATCTCGCAAAAGTACCCTTCTCTTGCTTCTCGATCGGCATTGCATCCACCATATATTTCTTGGTTTTCTTGACTAGCGAGTTTCAAATAGCTTTTTTCAACTTCAGCAAGGATAGCATCATCGGGATCTACTCCAATCAAATAGTTATGCAATATAAAACGAGCCAAGCACTATGTCCGTCATTGTATGAAATGAGTAATGTGGTTCCCTTCCACTAGTGATGATGGAAAATCTCTTTTTCATTACACCGAATGCTCTTTCAATGACATTTCAAAGGGAGGCATGACGATGGTTGAATAACTTCTTATAATTCGAGCGCCACGTACGTAATATTCTTTCAAATGGTACGACACACCTCTATATAGGGTGAGTAGTGTACTTTTTAGCATGTAACCGACATCCACCAAATAATATTTTCCCATGAAAAATGATTACATATGGTTATAAGTTATATAGTTGCATTCGAAACACGGGAGTAGAACTCTACACCGATTAAAATGACTTCGAGGAATTATCGGTTTGTCTTCCCTATCTAGAGCATTTTTTTTAGAATTCTTGAATCGGATGTTTTTCCCTCCCATCAAGCTAAAAAAATGTAAACTTCATGTCAAAGTCATAAGCGACTAATACATTTTGTGTTGGCCAATCTTTTCGACCTCGATATCTAATTGCAATATCATTTGGCACCTTAACACGAATATGTGTTCCATCTATTACTCCAATACAATCCTCGTATAAATATATATGTATAAATGCTTTCATATATTACATAATTGTTAAATAAATAAATATCTTAGAAAAGTTGCTTATGTAAAATATAACAAAGGTTTCTTACCTTAAAAAAAAGGAAAAAAATCTACTACTATTTGTAATCTGTGGTGGAACTTTTGAACCAAGTGGTTGTTTAAGGAATTCGCTTTCAAGGGAAATCACTACCCGCAACACATTATGAAAATGTCGACTAATAGTTTCACCTAACCAATGAAAATAAAATACAAACTCTTGATTTTTCCAGTTGTGACCTAAAATGTGGAGGAACTTGGCAACTTGCTCCTCTATAGTTGCTCACCTATAGTCCTTCAAATGACCACTTCCTCTCCACATCCGACGTAAGTGTAAGAAAGCTTGAGGACTCATTCGTACAATATCTCGATAGGACATCTCACTTGAAGTTAACCTATTTACTAATTCTTAGCGTAGATTATCTCTTGCAAGCACTTTTGTTGGGAATAGGTTTATGAAATATAAATGCTTGAGCATTAATTAGGTGTAATGTATGCACAACATGACAAATTAATTGTAAAACTACCATTCGACGTCTTCTTTCCTAATTCTCCATAATCCGTCGATGCCGTTCTTGACATTCCTTAATTTGTTTGTTCATAAAACCAAATGAATCAACAATTCAAATGAATTTTAAAAGATTGATCCAAAGCAATCTATATTATAAATCAAATTGACATTTACAAAAATAAACGAGACAAATTGATTGCGAGCTAAAATAGCAACCCAAACTCGTGAACCATCAAAAAAATAATAATAATATATATATATATATATATATATATATATATATATATATATATATATATATATATATATATATATATATATATATATATATATAACTTGGCCGACAAATACCACACAAAAAAAGCAAAAAAAAAAAAAACAAAAGCATAAAGCAAGAACCGAACAAAGGACGAGTAAATACTTTTAATGCAAATGCAATAATAGTATCCGAAGGTGTTATTTGACGAGAAAAGATACTTAATGACTTAGAAGGTAGCTAGCTAGTGTTGGAGATTGGTGGTTATAGAATTAGGGCTTGAGATTAGAGCTAGCTAGTGTTTTGATACACATTTGCATAGGGCTAGCATCTAGCAAGAATCGAAAGGGGATAGTCCAAGCTTCCATTTTACAATAATTACATTTCATCTTCTCTTTTTGAAAAAACATCAATTACATATTGAGGATAAAATTATAAAGTTTTTTTTTCATTTTTGATGGAACAAAAAATAAATGAAGGAGCACATGTGAGAGATTATCAATATATGTTAATATCAACGGGTTCGATTGATGACTATCATTTTTAGTAATTCGGGTGGGATGTCAAAAAGTATCGCTAAGTGTATTAATTAAATGATTATTTCTATAACTCTTTTTTATATAATTATCAATATATTTTTCATCAATTATCAAAAAATTGATAAGAATCATAATTTAATTGATGAATTTAGGAGTATCCCATATCAAATACTATAATCTGTTTAAGTTGCAAAAATTGCATGTACTCATTGGAACATGCACATCAAATAAAATGACAATCCTAAATCATGTTTCTTGATAACAATATGAAATTTCAACGAGCAAGTTACCATATCTAAATGAGACCCATCAAGCAAGCATGTACAACTAAAATTATTATGTTCGTTATGCATCGTCGATTTCTATATTTTTCAAGAATGGCTTCCCTTCGCTTTTTACTCTCCTCTTTTATTCTATTGAGATCTTCCTCCTCCTGTTCAACTAATTTCAATGCAATTCTTTCTTCAAAATCATCTTGTTCATCTTCGTCTCCGAAACCACATATCAAAAACATAAAAGTTAGGTAAAAAAAACATGCCGACCGATATATATATATATATTTTCTTAAAATTAAAAGACGTTTTGAATTGAAGTAAGCATTACAATTCGTGGATTAAAATTACTCGTTTAGATTGTCTCTTCCCTATCCAAAAGAATTGTTGTTGGAATTATAACGGTTTCTTGAAACACTTTGATCCCTAGATTTCTCCCGATCCTCGTCATTTCGCTCGTCCCTAACCTTATCCCTTTCCATGTACCACCTAACCTATTACGGTGTTTCTTTTAAAGTTAAAAAAAATGTGTTGACTAGGACCTCTCACAATAGATAGTACGGAACACCGAGAAGCTGAAAGTTTAGAACATATGATTGGAGGCCAATAATAGGAATGAAATGCAATTAAAGTTTGACTTCCAAACGCAATATTATACATAGAATAAAGGACCAAATAGGTGAAAATCCAACATGACAAAGCTCTAATGCCACATTATCCTTGGAAGTTATATCAATCAAGTTGCCATCGCTATCGAATTTTCCGGGAGGTGTAAATGTCTCTCCCTCCTTAGATCGAAACCCGGTTCCGGTCCTCTCTCTCTTTCCTGTTCCTATTATTCCCCGTCTTTCATTCTCCCTCTATGTCAAATGTAGTTTCTTGATCTAATGAAAGAGATTTCTTCAGCAAGAACCAAACTTTGGCCCAAACCTAAAACTGTCACTATTATCTTGCTCTCTTTCTAGATTAAAGCACCCATCTAGTGAAAATTGAAAACGAAAGAACTCGAGGGAGATGAGTTACCCGAGTGGAGCTTCCACGAAACGAGAGGAACTAACAAGAACTCGGTGTTAGACTATTTGAATTTCCCGAGCAAAATCGGAGTAAAGGATAATTTTTGAACTCGTTCGTTGTCGTTGTTGTCAATTTTACGGGTTTGATTGATTTTGAATGAGGATGCTCCACCTTTTGTTGTTGTCACCGTTGATTTTGCGAAGGAAATTGGGACTGTGACATAAGGTTATTATTGGGGGTATGATGCTTCGAATGTCTTGTAGCGTGTTTAAGACTAAAAAATGAAGAGGTGTTGTTATGGTGGATGATTATGGGTTTGCGGCGGATGCTTGGCCTTGATGAATTGGCAAGAACGAAACAACCGAGAGGAAGTCAATCATTGGGAGGAGCATCCTTCAATGGCACTTGGAAAAGTGGGATCGAACTACCGCAAGATCCTATTATAAAAGAGCCTTGATTTGCGGATCTGTTTTGTTACTCGCAGAGTAAAAAAGGAGGGGGACGATTGAGGCGGATGAGGACAAAAATATAAATAAAAAATATTTTGATGATTTACACGCTTTTTCTCCTAGTTTCCTCCCAATTTTGGGAGGAAAATAGGTCTCACCAGTTATAAGTTTGTTTATTATTTTTTTTCTTTCCACAGGTTTCCTCCCCAAAACAAATGAAGGAAACTTTTCTTTCCTTCCTAATTTTCTTTCCTCTCTTTCACTTTCCATCCTATCCAAACAGGCCATTAAGCAAGGCATTGAAGGTATTAAAATATGTGATTTTGTAAAAGAAAAAAGTTTATACTGATCAAATTAAAAGTTTTAGACTTCATTATATATTTAATTAGTGAAATTGTTTCTTAAATTATATATATATATATATATATATATATATATATATATATTTCAACGTATAGATTTTGATTTTGATTTTTTTTTTTTGTTAATTGTCAAGTGTTTATAAAAAGATATATATGACGGTGTTACGCATCTAATTAAGAGACATATTAGTATAAAGTTAGTAAAACTATTTAAATAAAAAATTATAAATTAATATAATGAAATAGTAAAAAAAATAAAATTTATATATTCAAATAAAAAAATGTTAATAAACTTGTACAATTTATAAATAATAATTTCAATAATTCAATGGTTAGAAAATTATTCTAATTTAGCCGAAAGTTTATAGTGCTTTTAGATCATTTTGCCTTTGTTTCTCTTATGGGTTGTGGGACAACCGACCCTAACTATGTGTGGACTAGACGTCTAGTTGACCCTGCTAATGCATACGACACATAACGACAAACACAAAGCTTGCACCAAGGTTTTTTCTTTTCACCAATAAACAATATAAATCCAGTTATGAAACTAATTCTATGTTTCATTACAACATTTCATTAATGAATTTGTCTAAATTAATGGATGATGAACCATTTGGGCTAGTAGTTTCTTCAGCCAACTTCTTCCATTGCATGGCTTTTTTCCTCATTTTCTCACCCTCTTCTTCCTCCATTAGCTTTCTGACAAGTCTCTCCACATCTTTCCTTTTGACATTGTTATCAATCTCCATGCCAACTCCCCATTCACTGCTAGCATAGCTACAGTTTATTGCCTGATCAGCAAAAAAAGGCCAGCAAATTATTGGCACACCAGCACACAAGCTTTCAAGAATCGAATTCCAACCACTATGAGTTAGAAATCCTCCAATTGATGGATGGTTTAGAACGTCTTCTTGTGGACACCAACTAGCAATGAAACCACGTTTTTGAGTTTCCACTTCAAACTCAGCAGGCAAAATTGTTGATTCACCGATAACCAAATCTGGTCTTATAACCCACAAGAATGAGATCTTGCTATCAGTTAGTCCCATGGCAAACTCAATCAGTTGTTCAGCTGTCATCACTGTTATGCTTCCAAAATTCACATAGACCACTGACTTGGGTCCTTTGGTATTTAACCATTGGATGCATTCACTCTCTTCTTTCCACAGATTGTACCCAATAGATTTCAAACCATCATCTTGAATTTGATCGAGAAGTAACTGAAGTGGACCAATGGAATAAACACGAGGAAATATAGTGGAAAGACCATCCAAAACGTCTTGCTCCAACGCATCAAAAGTATGAAAAGCAATTGCATGAGCTTTAACAGAAGTCTCAGCAACTCCCATTACAAAATTAAATGAAAGGTCATTTGCATATGTTGTTCCAATAAATGGAAAATCTTTAAGCTGGATGGCTTTCATACCAGGAATCCCTTCTATAATTGTGGTTTCAAGATAACCATTTGTTAGATAACTTTCATCTGTAAAAACACAATTAATTAAAGTTAGCTTTCAGTACTTTATGAAAAAAAAATATATATATATATATAGTAGAATTGTGCACAGGAACGCAACAGATCTAATAATTTACATTTCAAAGTACCTTTACATGCTTTCAATATTCATGGTAGAAAGAATTTTCTTTAATATTTTCTTAAATTACCTGGAAGTGGAACATAGCCCTTCTCCTTGAGAGCATGAAGTTGTTTGTATCCCATATATCCGCATGCGGACATGGTGACAAACATCACTACTGGGAATCCAGCTTCTTCAGCAGCTGTGATGGTGAATGGCATGAAAGCATCAGAAACTATGCAAGTTACTGGAGGATCGGCAAGTTTGGCAAGAAGATCCTTAACAGGAGCTAACATATTATTTTGAATAGCTACTGTTAGAGAATCTATTTCTTGTGTCGCATCAATATCTGAAGGAGGGAGGCCATCGGAGATGGTTTCAAAACGGAAGTTGGGAAAGCCATCAAGGGCATTAGGGCCTCTTGATTTTAAGAAACGTTTGTGATTGAATTCTGTGTTAACAAATGTTATGTGAAAACCTTTGTAGTGTAGAAGTTTTGCTAGTTTAAGCATGGTTTTTATATGGCTTTGTAGTGGACATGGGATCAAAACGATATGATGCAAATTATTGGCTTCTGGCTTAGATCCCATCTTTCACTACTCTCCCTGTGCTTCTTTTTTCTTGGGAATGGACTCTCTATTCTATTGCTTGTTTTTGTAGCAATCCATGCTTTCCTCCAATATTTTTATAAATTAACACATAATACTCTTGAAATGGTGACTCACATGATAATTAATTGATTTATTTTTCATCATTTCAGACTTGGATCTAAAAAGAAGTAATTTAGATGCAAATGATTTATTTAAGATTCGAATTGGTTTACGAATATCTTAATTATTTGGTGAAAAAAGGTAGAAGATTAAGAGAAAGTAAACCAGTGGAATCAGCTTTAGCAGCGTAAATATTAGACTACTGACTATGTATCTCGATCATCCCTCACGCAAATAAAATTTAACACTAAAAATATATCAAGTAGGTAGCATTAAGAATTGTTTAGCATCCATCATGATTTAAGCAAGGCATTGACGGTATTAAAATATGTGATTCTTTAATAGTTTCTTTCAATTGAATGAGGCTCGTTGACATTAAAAAATGTTAATAACTTTACAACAGATAATTCCCCCCAGAAAAGAGAAAAAAAAAAAAAAAAAAGAGGCTGCTTTCTTTTGGAAAAAATTTTTTTTTAAAGAAAACTACAAACCGTGAAGAAATTGAGTGTAATTTTCATTTAGTAAGAAAAATTAGGATCCAATGAGAGATTTGAGAAAATTTTCAAATCCTTCGTGGTTTATAATTTTTAATCCTTCTAATTTAGGTTTATTAGCTAATTATACCCGTTTATTTTTAAAAACATTTCAGTAATTTCAATTTGAATGGATCTACTCTTACATCATCTCTTTAAAAATGACAGCTCGATTCTCCACCAATCAATTCATCCTCTACCTTATCTATAAAATAAGTACAATATCCCTGCTCAAACTTATCCTTTAAATTCATAACTGATTTATCACATATTTAAGACCCATTAAAAATAATTTGTCAAAAAAATTATCTTAATTCGTAAAAGTTTCGAAAAGTTATTTTGGTTCTTAAAGTTTTTTACAATTTAGTCCTTTATTTATAAAATTTTTGTACTTAAAGTTTTCATTAAAAAAAAGATTTCTAATTTACAAAATTTGTGCAATCAAGTCCTTAGATGTAAACTTTTTTAAAACAAAATTAGAATGTTATAAAATATATATAAATATTCATATGTAAAAATTATATTAGTAGATATCGCTACTCAACATTCGACAGGACTCTTAAAAATTAAAAAAAAATTATTTAAATTATTTATGATTTATTCGAAGATGTGAGATATTTGAGAGTTGGCACCAAGTATTAAAAGAATTAAGAATCTAAAATGGGCATTAGTGCAAAGATTTTAAGATAAAGAGTTGGCTATGCTTTTGGAAAAATATCAATTACTCAAAATTAATATTTTTAAGAAAGGTACCATGTCTAATTTAGTACTAAAATTTATCTCCTAAAACAATTCTATTTTTGCAAAAATTAATCCTAGTCAAAATTCCAATTTTTTTTTTTTGATTTTGTTATGTCAAACTTAATTTTTTATTTTTTATTTGTGGCATCGTATTGAACCAATCATCGGACCCCTTCATCAAGAGACACATCGGTTCAATTATCGGATCCACTTTAAGTCCCCACATAATCGATATGTTGGAGAAGTTCCTAATTACTAAATTGATTTCGACTAATGAAAGTCTCCATTAGATAAGATAATATATATATATATATATATATATATTCTTTTTCTTTTTCTTTTCTTTTCTTTTCTCTCTTTTCCTAGCATTGTACTTTTGTTTTCTTTCTTTTCCTAACATTTCTTTCTTCTTTTTTCTTTTTTTTTTTTTTGTAATATTTTCTTTTTATTTACTTAGCATTCCTTTTTTTTC